ATTAACAAAAACAATAAAAACAATAAAACAACAAAAACATCAAAAACATTAAAAACAACCTGTCCGAAATATAAAACACGACCAACAACAACAAAAACACAAAACATGCCAAAAGGAACAAATTGTGGTCATGTCAACTCGATTAAAATTTTTACTTTCGTTTGGGTTTACTTTTTACCGAAATCGTAAATTTTTTCAAGAAAAAGTTGCATTCGCCAATGCCGAGCTTCATGACAATTACTCCACTTTTAGCCAAAATATGTTAAATTAATTAAACTAAAATTTCAAGCTTATTAAAATAATTAAGAAATATATCTCAAAGCCGAAATGAATAATTTAATTAGCCACAAAAGATACAACTATTGCCAGATTTATTAGAAATATTAAATGGTTTAAGTAACAAATTGTGAAATTCACAACTCAGGCCGAGTATATGTTATATGAAATACTTTGATTAATTATTTAATTAAAAAACATTTAAAAAATATTTCACATAATAATTAAATCAATTCAGATTTAAAAAAATCTCAGAATGTATATTAGATACGCGTACTTCGAAATGTACGTGGAGGTTAAGACTAATTTAAATGATATTAATTTATCATTAATGAAGTATTAATACACATCTTATAAGCGTATGTTAATAAGTATTTGATCTTTTTTACTAATATAAATAATATAAATAGACTGTATTTTCTTACTTCAAGTACATAATAACTGATACTAATAGCATATAGTCATTTAAGATACACGTCCACAATATAATCTTGACTGAAGATGATACTTGCGGTGAATAGTATACTTGGAATAAAGGAAACTTTAGAACATGTTCCATGTACACACCCGACTTTATCAAAGACCCAATAAACTACTTTCGTATAATGAGTGCCATCTATACTCGTAGTACTACCAGCGCCAGCGTTACTACGAGTGCTATCGACAAGTTTGAAATTACAAATAATACGTAATCATACGAATTTTGATTTCTGTGGTAGGTGGAAAGCATCATCAACTACAGTGTGGGACTTGAACCCACAAAAACCACCTTTGAAGAATGAATGTAAAAGATTTACACCGCAGTGTGAAAACTTCACTATAGTAATTAATAGGGGAGATAATGTGAAGAGACTTAATATCTAGAGGTCTTGGTTTATCTAAGCCAGTAAGCGTGGTCTTGGCACAGGTGAACGGAGAGTTTGTAAAATGGGTGGGATTATTGCGAGAGTTTTGGGGGATATATTAGTGGTGGACTTTGTGACTAGAGTAACATGTGAGATGATGCAGAATGCCTCTCATCGAAGTATAGGAGGCGCTTGAACTACATGGTTTGAGCGAGATTGTCCAGAAGAATATTAGTGATAGGGATATCGGTGGGAGGGTTATGCAACCGAGTGAAGTACCGTCGGATGAGTGTCTAAAGGTGCACTGAGCAATAGTACAATAAAAACAAGTGTTTCATAAGCTTTATAATTTTAGTGTGATTGAAGGTAAAAAATACTTGATTAAAAATTGTTTTTTGACTTAGATCTGATGCAAATTTTTTTTCGTTTTGTCATCTAACTCCACAATCGGAAATTTGAGAGTAAGAAAAAATATTTTTTACTTTCATAAGAAAACCGTGTGGTAAAATAATCTTTTTCTATAATTTCAGCTAAGATCTATTCGGTGTACCTGCAGACTTCGTGATTTCACCATTTTGCGAAAAATTCCTAAAACAATATATTAGAGTCGTAGAACTGTATTAAATTTGTTTCCGTGTTCAATTAATTTCAAATAATAATTGCAGAAGTACAATCAAAAATATTTGAATCAAGAACTCATTTTTTTCAATGTACTAGCCATGCACAAAATCACGAAGACTTGTAATAATGGCAGTGGGCAATCCGACCACCTTAGCAACTGGCAAGTTATACCACAAGTTAGTCTAACAGCCCTCAATATAATTAGAAATCTCTATTAACTATATGTCTCTATATGATATTACCTTAAATCTGAGGCTTTATTTTGACATTTTGATATTGGATATATCAATTTATAATATTTCATATCATATTTTGATATGACTGGTTTCAATCAGTTCTAATCTAACTTATGTTAATCGAATCCAAGTTATTAAAATAAGTTATAAATAATTTAGCTTAAGTTTCATATGATTTATAAATTAATAATAAATAATTAAATTCTAAGGCGAATATGAATAATTCGACAATTTGCGACAATATTCTCTTAAGACAAAAATTTTGCGCTTCATATCAGCACTATTTCTCATTTCTATTTCTCATGTATAACGATAATGGCTATAAATACGATGGGTGGTCGGCAAAGCTAAAAAAAATTTAAAAAATTTAATAAATTAAAATTTATAAACTTGGGAACTACACATGCAAGAAACTATCAGAAGAAATGATCGAGTTAGGTTTTATGAGAATATTTATATAAGAAAAATCTTCCTTATTTGAATGTAAAGCGCTAACACTACCAAAGGAATCACTAGCTTTGTTTATACCTTGCATGAGGGAGTTGATCATCAGAATTCGTTGTGAAATCTTATTCATATTGAAAAGGCTAAGTGCTTTTAGACGGCACTTTTGCTGTTTAGTTTCTAATACTGTTGGTTTTTAGTGTACTTGTGGATCCGTCTACATAATAAAATAGCATTACTAAAATTTATTTTCAATTTTTTACTGAGCAGATGTCTACTGATATCATGAAATAGAACATTCTATATTCATATTGAACTGATATTTGGCGGCATATATGCCAAATTGTTGAACAGTTCCATATGTGAGATTCTATCGTTTATTAATATTTACTTTATTTTAAAATAAAAGATATTTATATTGTTTCTGCCTATTGTACATTTTTATTCAATAAACCCAAATAATCACAACGAAGAGAAATTTTTTGATTTGGCCGAAACAGCTTTTGTAGTTCTCTAGCATTTCTGAGTGATTCAATGTTTAGTGATGATTTCAAAGTAGTTAAGCATCCATGATTACGATTTTTCCAAAAGGCAACTTGAGAATATTTTAAAAGTCAAACTATCCAACTGATTGTATCTCCAATGATGTCGTAGTATTAAAACCTTCAATTAAAAAAAAAATTGGTTATATTTTAAAATATGATAATTTATTGAAGTGGATTATAGTAATAGCTTTGGCGCTTAATAATTATTTTATTCATTATTTTATTTAATTCATTTTTAAAAACCTTTAAATTCTTAAGATCTTAAAATTTAATTATGAAGTTCATAATTTATTATAATTTATATATAAATAAAATTTTTATAGAACTTTTATTTATATAAATATATTTTTAAAATTATTTAATATATTTTATCAATTATTTAATTTATGGCATTCATATATTATAACATATTATATTTTATAACAACTTATATAAATAAAATTTATATAAGACTTTTATTTATATACATATACATATTATAAATTTATTTATATACATATTATAAAATATGTATATAAAATAATTTATATGAAGTTAATTATATATTTTTATTTAATCTATATAACGTGACATTTGTTTCACGCTATGAATTCATTAAATTTAATTAATTTAGTTCAACACTATTTCACAACATCTTTGAAATATATCAATATTGTCCAATTAATTTTTAAATCACTTAACTTTTTTTCGAAAAAATTTACTTCGTCTTTAAATAAATTTGTTATATTTTATTTTTTTATTTTATTATTAATTTTATTGAGAAATTAATTTCATTTAATTTTAACTTAGTAGGTAATTATTGTTGGCTATGGCAACTAACCGTCTTAATTGCAAATTATTTTAAGTACCTTTAACTTCTCAAAATTGATTTGAATATCATCTTCTGAGCCAAAATACAAAAATCGTATCCTTAAATTCCTTATGCCACATTGCACTCTGCATAACTCTTTGAACTCAACACAGAACACTGAATGATTCTTGAATGAAGTGCAACCCATATTTATAGTCGCAGACGAGTACACATAAAATCCATTGTCCTTTTTTTTTTTATCAAATTCACAGCTTTTTTTACGGATTCATTTAAACTTAATGCGCTCCTTCTTCTTATCTGCATCCTATAGATTTCATTCCGTATAAAGAAGTTTAAAGGGTTATTTTTTGTCTTGTTTTTATGTCTACACACTTTTATTATAATTTATTTAACTTTTGTAACTTAAGGGGAATATTACGTATCTTATGGAATTGAGTTCGATATCAAAGTTGAACTTACTCAGCAGACAACTCACCACTGCAAGTAGAATTTGTTTACACCGACCTAAAAGGCAGCTGGAGTTGTAATTCAAGCTGATGTAACTCACCGATATTTAGAATCTCTACTGCAGAAGAATAGCTAATATTGCAGTAGTTCAAACAAGAACGTTCTGTGTAATGACCTTGGATGCAGTTGTTCTACATTATAACATTGATTGGAATATAAACAGAACCCTTTGGTATATCCACAGAATAATAGCTCGAAAAAAATTTGTTTACATGCAAACACAGCTGCTTCCGTTGAAAGATATTTTCCAATCAAATTCACTTACGTTACATTAAACTGACTACAAAAAGACATTTTGATTAACTTTAAATTAATTTAATTAATTTAATTAAAGCAACAGTTTAGAATTATTAGATAGCATATATTTCTATAATAAATAAACAATAAAATAAATATATAAAATACCCATTACTTATATAAATATATATTATAATTTCATGCATCATTGCATAAAATCAACCTAATCTCAATTTCGGTTCTAACAATCTGAAATAAGTGAATGAATCTCAAAGATACATAGGCAAAGCAAGTTGAAGGCAATGGTAATGCTACAGTTTCGTCAATTTTTTTTGCAGTCGTGTACTTTATTGTCACAATTTTAACAAATTCAGATATCAGATATTTTGTATAAATAATGTCGACGTCGCGAGAAACTGTATCATTTACTTCTTGTGTTCACTTCTGTAAAGAACAAAATCAACTCAAATCAGCTAAAATGGCTTTCAAAGTGAGTTAAGTGATTTGTGATTTATAATTTGTGATTACAAACACTACAAATCAAATATCAAGCAAAAATCAAGTATCTTTCGGATTAATAATTCAATTTTGTTGAAATTTTTTATTTCGCAGTTTTTCTTCGCATTCGCACTCGTAGCTGTCGCCAGCGCTGGTTTCGCACCCGTCGCTCAAGTCTATCAAGCAGCACCAGTCGCTGTACATGCCGCCCCACTAGCCGTTGCTCAAAAGGTCATCGTTAAGTCCGAAGAATATGATCCACATCCACAATACAGATTCTCATATGGTGTTGATGATAAATTGACTGGTGATTCCAAGAGCCAAGTTGAAGAACGTGATGGTGATGTAGTACGTGGCGAATACTCCCTTATCGATGCTGATGGTTATAAACGTACTGTACAATATACCGCTGATCCACATAATGGTTTCAATGCTGTCGTACACCGTGAACCACTCGTAAAAGCTGTTGCTGTCGCTCCAGTTGCTCACTACTCTGCTCCAACTGTTGTGAAGACAGTTGCTCCAGTTGCTCACTACTCCGCTCCAGTAGCACAATACGCAGCTCCAGTTGCTCACTACTCCGCTCCAGCTGTTGTTAAAACTGTTGCTCCAGTTGCTCAATATGCCGCCCCCGTTGCCCATTATACTGCTCCAGTTGCTCACTATGCTGCTCCAGCTACTATTGTGAAA